GACTTATGCATGTATTGGTTTCATTTCAAATGTAATTTGTGCACAGCCTATAGGAAATGATGATTTGTCTACTCTCCCTTTGCTAAAAAACCGAGAGAAAAAACGAACACTTGAAATCACGCTTCACTTTAATAGAAAAACAGGCTAGTTGAGGATAAGGTGCCCGTAAATTGTATGAACAGAATTTTTGCAATTCAAAAAACGAAACTTCTTTCAACAAATATAAACAAATAAACGTGAAATACCGTTGTTTTTGTACTCAAGCACAGCAATGATTGAATACTGTACATGTCCTTTTGCTGAGTAGAAAGAACTGGGAATACAATCGGGGAGCACATCCTAAAAATGAAGTACAATTCCAAAAGAGTTCTAATTAATCTTTTCTAGCAAAAAAGAATTAGAAGAGAAACCTAGTATTTTGTTTTCTAATGGAAAGTCAACCTCAAACTCGTAATGGCGCTCCTGATCGTAAAGAGTTGTTGGAGAACTGACAATTGTCCATTCTTTTTTCATGTATATCAAACTCTTCTGTAGCGACTCTTCTTTCTGAAAAAAGTTAATTCATTGCAGATATGCTTGTATGGAGAACAAGAAATCTATGTAATTCATCTACAACTAATTTTTCGTATGCATTTTTTAAATAATTATCCATATCTCTAGACAAAATCAAACTGATTTACCTATAAGGGATCGTATAGCATACCAACGATATTAGATTTATCACGAAGCTCCAAAATAATGCAATTATTTCATATTTCCATGTTCTCCACTCTAGTAGTCTAATTCAAGTAATGCGAAAAGCTAAGAAAAAAACATTTGCACTGTTCAGCGCTAAGAAATTGGAACTTTTTAGCAGCAGAAGACTTCTCCTTCAGGACTTCGATCGGAGCTAGATGCTAATTCAAAGTGACATTTTCGCAGTTGTAAAAGTAAGAAAGCTATTTTAGCAAACAACTTTTTCCTTGAAACCAGTTGGCTTGAGATATCAGTGCATGATATAGTTACGTAAAGTAGGGAGCCTTCCATAACATTTCTGTCAACAGCATTATAGAAAAGAATCACAAAACTACAACCCACCTTCCCCTTTATGTTAACTCGTCCCAATCCCATAAGAGTGATTTTAAGCGATGTAATATCGATGGAACCTTCCGAGAGTTTCAACAGAAGTCGACCACGAAGTGTATCACCAGGAGTATAACAGCAATCCTTCCTACTCAAGTCAATCATAAACTCTGTTAGATTGTCTTTCATGCTTGACTGTAAATAAAAC